CGTGCGACGCGGCTCGCCGGCCTCCGTACGTACGCTCGCGTGCGTACACGCGTGTATGGAGGCCGGCGTGAGGCTGTTGACTGAAATTATCTTGCCGTCATCTACGACACACGGGGCCCATTAACTGGCAAGACCGTTGCATCTTTTCTTTTTTTTTTCTCTTACAAACGTTCCGCCATTAACCCATTATGCCGACAAAGGGGAAAAAGTGGCGTATAGCGTGGCGAATAAACGACTCCGCAGCCGATAAGGCTTATCGATTCGCCAATTATGCGTGGATTTATTATCGAGGCGTCTGCTTGGGCGTAAAATAATAAATCTGGTTTCTGTGCATCGAAAATTAGTAGCCACATCGAATCGAATCGATTTCCACGTTGTTCTCATGACGTCCTCTACGAGGTGAGAGATCGTCCGACGATAGAAGACGTCTTCGTGGGAATTTCCAAGGTCCAGCAAAAAAGGAAAAAATTCATTATTTCGACGAGACACCTGGTTTCGTCTACTCGCTTCTCGACAGGCAAACGTCTCGACGTAAATTAATAAGGGGATAATCGGCGATCCATTATCTCGTTAATACTGACCCTCCGCCTTTTACATCCCCCTATCCTCCTCTTCCTTTCTCTTCCTCCTCCCCTCTCTCTCTCTCTCTCTCTCTCTTTATCGTCTCGTCTAATTACCCTTCAGTTCATTTCCGCCCACGTGTATACTTAATAACGATCATAGGAAAGAGCGAGTGTAAAGAAAAAGTAATCGTGGCTGTCAGTTTCAGAATTTTTAGCGCATTTGCTCGAACTGTTGTGTTTTGATTAGCGAAATTATTCTTAATTATTATTACTTTATCTTTTTATGAATTACCATTATTATAATAATATTTCTAGTTTTTATTTTGCGACGTATAACATTCTTTTTCTCATAGTTACGAAGTGACATTGATTAGTGTAGGGTTAAATCAAGCGAGGCGAGTTGTGAATCACGACTATGGATGTAAAATTTCCGGAGTATATGTGGGGGATGAACGACGACGACGACGACGACGACACGGTTGATCGAGAACGTGAGGTGGCCATCACGTGCTCAATTTTCCGAAGGTTTCATAACATCCGTCTCGCAAGGAGGGTGCGCGTGCCTGCACCCTTCTGTCCTATTTCAGATCCTCGAAGGCTAATTTCCCTGACAGAGACATTTTCGTTCGGTCGGTTCAGAGTCCGAGTCTCTCTCGCGTCGCCGGTCACCGCCGTCTTCTCCGTCTCACCCTCCCGATAGATCGTAAGACCCATCGAGGAGAGGAGGGTAGGAAGGGAGAACTAAATCAATGTAGGACATTTATATTGGTTGGAAATCGCTGACTCTCCATGGACCGACCGCCGTGGACATCCGACCGGGGACATATTAAGATTTCTGATCCGCCGCGCCGCGACCACGGCGACATTTTTATCATTGCGTGTCCTTTCCTTTCCTGCCGCGAGGAGGAAATAAAACGTGAATTATTGTCCACGCGGTGTCTCTCGCGCCGTGTCCGCGCACGTGGTCCAGCCCCGGGTCTCCACGGGGCCCGGGTTAAAGTGGCCGTTATGGTTTTCGGTGAATAATTTAATGGCCCGTTTAGTGATGTCGGCTCGTGAATATCGTACGACGTCTCGCGCGCGATACGCTTAGCAAACATTTTTCCCCGCTCGGCCGAATTTCGCGTTGATCCACGGCTAACGAGAAAATCCGAGTAAATCCTTAGCGATTGAACGCTAATCTGTGTAAATGGAACGATAAGTGAGGCTGTTTCCTCTCCTCATTAAAATACATTGAATAATGTAAATTTTTTATTAAACAAACGTGTTATTTCCATCGTGCGCTTTGTTCAGAGTTTATCGATTAATTTTTGAACGCTATTTAAATTCGTTGATTTTTTATTGTGATTTTATTTGTTACAAAGTACAACCATGAAGAATAAGAGAAAAAACGAAGGTCGAAAAAGAGGAGAAAGGCATGATGTATCAAATGGACTGTGAAAGTTTTATATTTGACCGCGGGTGTCAAACCAATTCATTTAAGTTAATGGGAAATTCGTGCAGCGCAGCTTATCATCCAATTAATACCAGTTTCGACTTCCCTTCCCCGGTTGAAGAAATGTTCTTATTTGTAAGGCCGTTATCGACCGGTTTCGCTGATAAAACTCGATACTTTTATCGGGCCCCGATTACTCCTCTATCTCTCCCAGATACTCCGATGCCAGCGTTGCACGCTCTCGAAAACGATTTCATTTGCCATGCGTATGTCAGCGATAGCGTTCGTTCCTCTTTCTCTATCACTGTTCCATTTTGTACCATATTAATGCAAGGGAGAAGGGAGAGACGGAGGAGCGTATACGACTGTTTTCCGTTCGCGATCGAGATGTGTCCGTTAAGATTACGGATTGGCCGCCAACGCATCTTCATTCTCGGACTCCTCGGAGTCGATCAGCAGACTCTCCCGGTTGAATGCGCTATAAAGAACGGAAACGCGCGCTTTTCTCTTCGTAGAACGCGCTTACGCGCGTTTACGAGTCGCTCGCGACAGACGGGCTTATCGCGCGAGCCATGCGGCAGCACAGCTCGGAGATATCACGAGGAGGAGATGCCTCCGCGTCGCTTCTTTCACGGAACCGCGCGCGTCCGTACGAGCGCCACGACACGATTGGGTCGCGCGTCGCTCCCACCTCGGCCGCGCGGTTCTCGATCGACGCTGGTGAACGCGCGATACCGCAGCCGACAGTCGCGCGTAGTCGCCCGCGTTGCTCGGTATTGTTTCACGTTGAGTCGAGTCGAGTCAAGTCAACTCAACTCGAGTCTCGCTCTCCCCCTTGCCAGTCCGGATTCGCACGCGATTATCGATCTATCGTGAGAGTCTCCGGGCGGCATTCTGCGCGTAAAACGTAGTTGCGAAGTTCCGACGTCGGCAAAGTTGTACGATTCTTTCATGGCCCGGAGAAGGCGTTAAATTTCGGCCTGGCGCCCCATAGTCCTCGCGTTAGCGGCCGAAGTTTATTCCTACCACCGCCCTCACTCCGCGCGAAGCGAGCGCGCGGCACTTTTCGACGTGTCGGAAAAGCAGGACGAGAGAGAGAGAGAGAGAGAGAGAGAGAGAGAGAGAAAGAGAGAAAGACGGGTAGAGCGGAACGGGAGGGTGGAAGAGGACCGGCATCGTGCGCGAAAGTTTTCGGCGCGGTGCAGGCGAGTAAAGTAGCAGTGCCGTGGAATATTTTAACATATATCACGACGAGAGAGAAAGAGAAAACGAGAAGGAAAGAGAGAGAAAGAGAAGAGAAATTGGGACGAGGGGTTGTAGCGCGCGATAGCTGTCTTCCTCTCGTTCCTCTCTACTTGGCCGGCTACTCTTCTTCCGCTTCGTCTTCCTCTCGTTCGCGCGGCAACTCCTCTGGAGCTCGTCGCCGGATCAACGTGCCTTCGTGGTGGTGCGATGTGCCGCCCTTGTATGACGTGACCCGCGCGCGAGGACGAAGTCCGTGCGTCGTCGAATCAGCGCGCACACGTTCCCGCCGCCAGCATGTTTGTCTGCCACACGGACTACGGCAGCTATAAAATGGTAAATTTACCGAAAAATGCGGACTACGCGAAGTCCCTCGATTGTATCCGTAATCCTTACTACCGGAACGATCGATAGATCGATCCCGTTCCTGTCGCGTGCACCCTCAGTGCATCATCTTTCTACATTGCCTTTTTTCCACATCGAAGCCTTCGTATCTACCTCGATTTAAGAAAAGGGAGAAGGAAATGAAAGAGAAGCGCCAACCTATAAATCTATAACTTGGAGCTGAGAGCACGAATGTTCTGTATGTAAACTCGCGACCGCATAACCCGTCTCCGGTCCGCGATTTCTTTCAGAGGAAACTTTTTCCGATCTATTTGGTCACTTGGAGAGACGTCCCGACGTCCATAATGGATGAGTAATTAAGTTATATTGAGTAACGCCGTTTGCTTCATTCTTTATTTAATTTAAATGATTGGAGCACAATACCGGGATTAGACAATCGAAGACTCTTTATCGCGCACGAAACTGCTTCCGCGCTATCATCGCTGTCTTACGTCACGTTCGACGTACAGCTCTATATTAACGAGCATCCAATCCCAACAAGCTCCTAATAATTAATTTATCGTCTTACTCCCTGGCCTTCGTCGCGTTCTAAAAATTGGAGCACTGTATATCTAACGAGCAAATCTTAATCTCGCTGATACGAGTTGACGCGTTATACGTTATATCGTCACTAGCATCTTCGACAAGTTTCAGGTTCGACGCTCTTTCTCGCGAGGAATAAAATCATCGCGCGTTGCCAGGGCACGACGAACATCGTTAAATCAAACCTCCTGCTCGTCCCTATGAAGATTGACAGCGTTAATTGGATCGAGGAGGACGACCTAATCTTAGATTTTTATTGATGTACGCGTTGCGCAAGGATAACCGTGCGCATGTGTATGCGTGTAGCCGTTTAATGACTCCATCATAGCGATTTTCTCTAGAAGCGTGCACGCGCGCGCGCACGTTCCTCTCGCGCGTCTACGTCGCTGAATTAATGACCGTTCTCGCTACGAGCCACGACGTTGGTCGGTGTCGTAATAGTCGACCGGGGGTCTATCGTAAGATCGATGGAGAGACGCGCTATAATACAATGCACAAAGGTGTCGCAAGAAACGAAGATGCATGACCGCCGCTGGTGTCTGCCCAATAGTCGACGGTGAAGTCCGCGTGTCGTCTCAATTACAGCGCAATTTTTCTCATTACACCAGAAATGCTGAAACGTCGATGCTGAAGTCGACGAAAAGTTTCGCGGCTCGCAGAACAGCGCGACGAGAAAATTATACGCGCGGCGTTTCCGTTTTGTTGCAGCGCGTCGACTCCGCGAATCGCTCGCTCGAACGAATCGTAGGATTTCTTCCGTTTTCTAAGCTTACATATACGCGGCTTGATCAACGAATTTTTATAATAATGAATATTTGCTTTTGCTGTTGCAGTATGGCTCGGATGAATTCGGGCAGGACTCGCCGAGATACACGTCGCCGAAGAATGCCCTTTACGCGGATTCCTATTACATTGGTAAGTGAAAACAAGAGATACATTAATATAAAAAATAAGAAAGATAAAGATACTATACTTCAGTTTTAGTAGCTTCGATAAGAAAAAACGGATTTTTGTCAAGTGAATCATTGCATCCTTGAGATCTCTGGGCAAGCAGACATGATAGATAAAGAACGAAAATAGAGCACATAGTAACAGACTCGTTATAGATTACTAATTTTATGAAAGTAGTTATGAAATAGATTATTGACTTATATCTGTTAATAATCGATATCAGCGGATGTGAATGTAATTAAACGAGATAATGCGAATCTCCGAGGGGGAGGGGGGAGGTTCGATAGATCGATCGTTATCTGCAAATCAGCAGCCATCGGCATGGAGGCGCGCGCGTACGTATACGTACGTATATATCATTTGGAAATCGCATAACGATCCGAATGGACGATAAAAGGGATTTTACGAGCGCACTAATATTCAACTGTTTAACGTTCGCTCGTAAAATTTGCCGCTCTGCCTGTCGCGCGTAAAAACAATAACAATCTCGTTATTTGTTCAAGCGGCGCGGCGGGGGCGTCGAAGTTCGTCGCTGGATTTCGCGGATATATCCGGCGCGCCGTCGAAAAAAAAAATCCACGGGGAAACTTCGTCGACGAGATATTGCCAATAAAAGCAATTCTCCGCCGCCTGCTTCGGCACCGGCCACTGCGAATCGCGCTTATACTACTTTGTTGTCGTAACGAACGTTTATCGAAGCGCCACGGCGCATCTTAGTCTCGCTATTTTAATAATTTTTCGCCGCTCACGGAAAGTCGCTTTGATGTGACTCACTCCCTTACGCGATACTACCTGTAATATCGATTCGTTACGCTAAGATTGAATTACGCGCAGAATTCGCTTTAATAATTACTGTGTCGCGCAAATTGCTCTATTAGTCGGAGCTGTAACTTATTTTTATAGAGCTATAATTGCGGTTTACGGTTTATTTCGTAGATTATAACGGATCTTTGAAAAATTATCGTTATCTCGCAAGACAGGTGTACTTGTACACCGTCACGCTCTATACTCCACGGATATTCGTCGCAGCTCCTCAGACTCATTCAGAAAATCGTAGGAAACTGTATATACCAAACTTAACATCTTAAGTAAAAATAACACAGCATTTTTTTTTATTAAATCTTGAATTATGCACGGAGAGAATTTTTTGTTATATTTTATCCTTAAATTCACTACAAACTTGGGACAACTTGACAACCAAGGAATTTTTAAAATATACAAGACATTTTACAAACAACGTGATAAAAATTACCATGCAGATTGGTAAATTTTGAAAAATTATTGAAATTTCTCCTAGATATATTTTAGTAAAATTAATCAAATATATTTTATATTTTAATGAAATAGATATTAATATTTCTTATTATGGTGGATATTAATCAGAATAACTCACATAAAATTCTTAGTAGTACATGTGTTGTCCCACAACTACCATGATTTCAGGGTAAATTTTAAGAGAAAATTCTTTCCGTGTGTGTAAAAGGATTTTGAGCGTGTTGTAAAAAGGCTATATTGGTGAAACATATGATCCGTAGAATTCCGCGTGCTTAAATATGCAAATATTTTAGACGATCTGCACAATGATAGATCTATGAAATCGGCGAAGTTTTCACCGCAGGACTCGTTATTATGGATCAGATGAGAAAAGTAGCAGTTTAAGTACGCTTTCGAAATACGTGTCGGCGCTCGTGGCACCCGGTAGCTGACCGGAATGGCTTATAAATGGGAGGCCAACGACGAGGGGGCGAAAAAGTTTTATCAGACATCGAACACCGGTAGTTGGTAGGAACGCCCGAGTAGTTTGGCTTAGTTTCCGTTTTCTCGTCGAGGAGCGCCCGGTACGGGAATTATATCAAGCAAAAGTATCAAGAAATACGTTCCCGAAGCTTATTGCTGTTGTTTTCAACTGAAATAATGGTCCGCGCTGGGTACCGCGTCTATTGGCCCTTATACCGGGGGTGTGTGTATGTGTGCGCGCGCGCGACTTCACCGCAAACGACGCCCGGGACCGAGTGAGACGTTAGAAAGCGCGAAATTTCGACTTGGCGAAAGTCCAGGGAAGTTGTATCATACTCGCGGATACTCATTTCTCGAAATAATTACTGCGGAAGGAATGACATCGCCGCTTGATTAGGAAGTTTGGCGCGGCGCGTGTCCGAAGCGGAACGCCGCGTTAATCGACCGAAATTGTACAAACACTATGAAGCGGAGTGCAAAAGGCGTCTCTGACGAGTGGGGAAATTCGATTAAACGCCACGAGGATGCATTTTAACTCGATTTGGACGCTCATTATCCGGGCACGTGCGTGACATTCTCCGCTCGCTGAACGCCACGTGCTCTATTATTTATTATTTCCCGCTCCAATGAGGTAGAAAGTGCCCGGATACATGTACGAGGGTTCTATCGGTATTTTACACGTCAATAATATATACTTAAATTTTTACGAATATGACGAGCGATGCTGTATCAAAAGGCAGAAACGTTCGGAACGTCTTCAATAACATCGCAAAAGTCCCCATCATTGCACCTCTATTATTGAGACGTTCTCTCTCTCTTAAATCTCCCTTTTTTGAATGTGGATGATCTGAGAATCGATTATTTAGATCTCGGATATTCGAATAATGATAGAATGACACACGATTGATCGAAACCGCGCCTCTCTCTTGTTGCAGATGGTAATACTACAGGAACCGGTCCCGGTGACCCATGGACGGGTAGCGGCGGTGGTGTCCAACCCCCATACAGTGGATACGCAGCCTCTCACCTGGCGCAGCCAGCCTATCCCATGCACCTACCCCACGACCCCATGGTAAGTGATTTCTCCTATACCTCACTCTCTTCCTTTCTCTCGTTTCTATCCCGACTATCCCCATGCCGCGGCCGAACCCGAAGAAACGATCAATCACGCGTGACTCGGCTGCTGGTTCCTACGGTGCCGCCGTCGCGAAAACGACGTCTCTGGAACTTGATAATAGACACGACGATATTCCTTCTCCCGTATTCTCTGTCGTAGAACACGTGAGTTCGACGAGGAAGTCGACAGATTAAAACCTAAGGGCGAGCGACCTAATCTCTGTGCCACGGAAGATCGATGTGCCTCCCGAGTGGCGTTGGGGCCTCTTTTTCCCGAAAGTCACGAGGTTCAACGAAACCTCGAGTGCGTAATCGACGTATAAAAATTGAATTCGACGACGAAAGATCGATTTTTCGAACCGGAGAACTGACACGCGGTAATTTCAACGCGATCAGTCGCGATCGCTGAATTTAGCTCGGCCGGAAATTCCGCTAATTCGCGAACTTTTATCCCGTTTTAGCCGACGTCGCTGTACGTCGAAGCGGACGGACGGCTGTTCGAAATGCACTCTTCTCGGACGAGATTCCGGGAGAGATGCGAGATTCTTGACGTTCTCGATCGAGAACATCCACAAATACGCGAACTTTTCGGAGATTTATCGTATCATTTTGATGGCTTTCCGCGGAACGTGATAAATTCCGATCGCGCTATATAATGCCGTCGCTAAATCTCACCGGCGGACGGTCTCGGCGATTCGCGAATTCGCGCGAAGTGCCAGGTCGTCTCGAGGACGAGCCGCGCGTCGCTCCTCGGTCGGCCATTACTCTCCGGCCAACCGGCGTCGGCTCTAATCCTCATCGTCAACCGTGATCCGACGGGCCAGCTGGTGGTCTCTTCTGACTGTCTTATTTCGGACCACCCGGTTGATTGTCGCGTGCGCGCGAGGAGAGGGGCGTTCCTCTCTTCATCGCCTCGCCATGGTTGAGAGACACTGTTGACAGTGCTCCACGTACCCGGAGTAACGTCAAATGACTCACTGGCGTCTATATATAGCCCCGACCCTCCCGCTACTCCGTGTTTCTAGTCAAGTGCAGCCTTCGTTTGATTTACGCCGTTCATGGTTACCACGAAATCCTCCTCTTCGTGGCACCTCGTACCCGGCAGCCTCTCTCTCTTTGAGACAACGAGAGGAGGCTTCTGCTACCGGCGTATGACGTCACGATGTCTTCGGGAATCGCCGATAAATGGCGAAATCACCGACGTTATTTTTATTTTCATTAAAACATCATCATCATCATATGTACAATAGAGCGCCGTAAACTTCCGGCGCTCTCGGATCATAAAGCCCGACTTTTAATGACTGTAAGACAAACCATTTTATTGTCGTTTGCGTAGCTACAGCGAGGCCTATTGGCCTACGTGATATGACAAGAAACGTCGTAAAGATGTTGTACGATTTAGGGCGAACGCGCCCAAGAAGGATGGAGTCAAGCGTCAGCGAGGTAAGATTTCTTTCGGTTACCAAAGATTTAACATTTACGATCTTCCAGTTTAATGACCCATCTTCCGAGAACGCGCGTTCATCGAAGAAAAGATGCTGTCTCTAAGTTTTTCTTATCTATCCGTCGAGATCCGACGGTTTCGTCGTCGATATTCGTCGCTACGCTTCTTCGTAAAAGCGTCGATTAGACGACTGTTTTACGCGCGGCGTGTACGTCTTCCGTAGGCGTCCCCAGCTACTTTAATTTGTTGATAAATACACTACGCTCCATAGAGCGACGGCACTGGCTTAAAATTAGACTTTTACGAGCGGTTTCAGTAGGTGCGAGAGAGCGCTATCCCACGCTCGGCGTATCCGATATCAAAGCTGGTCGAGGCGATCCATTATGACCAGAAAGATGCGCTTGAGGCAATCGTACAGATCGCCGAGCGGCTCCTGGAAATTACTCGGGATTCTTGTAACGGGGACCTTTATCGTTTGTAGCTACACGGGATAAATCAGTCCAACGTTTCGCGCACGCATGCACGAAGACATGCATTCAGAGAAGACATCCCTTCTGAAATCCTGCGGAATCCCTGAACATCCTGAAGTCTCTCTCTTGAAGTCCCTTCTGCGACGAAGATAAAGAAAATCTACGAAGATAAAGCTTGAGATGCGTAGACTTGTTGCATCGAATAAACCACGACGACACGTTGATGTTGTTATCTTCCTGTTTCATATATCGAACGACGCTCCTGCAAATCCTAGAATTCCTCCTACGACAGAGAACCTAGAGATTCCAACATACTGACGCAAGTTCGATAATTAACGTTGAAGACGCGATCGCGTATTCCCACGACTTCGCCCCGAGACGGGGTTACCACAAGAACCGAGCGTCGAACCATTTGCGCTTGGCGGTTTCAGGCATACTCGGCGATGTCGCCGAACGGTGAATCTGCAGCGCCGATCCTGGGCTCGGCGGTGACCAGTGCGGCTTCCCTGCCGCCAATGTCGACATTCCGGGGTAGTGCCGCGGTCGCGGCGAACAGCGGCACAGGGGCGCCGTCGCCGGCATCATTGCAATATAGCCATAGTCCTGGTGCACCGACGACCGCGCCTTCCGCGCCCAACACTGCGCCCACGACGAACCAGCAATCCACCACGGAGGACACCCTCGGCAAGACCCTCGCATCCGTCGTGAGCACCCGAGTATGTTCTCGGTCGTCAAGTCATCAAATTTTTTTACGCTTACAGAGTAAAAAAATATTTAACAGAGACAAAACGTTATAAAATAATTTATATTATTCGTTAGAGATGAAACGAATAGTTGGATGATCTGAACAATTTATGTAACACTTAGAGACATTTTCGAAATCTAATGTAATATTTATAGCGACGTTCAGATACATTTTATTTTATGACGTTACTTCGCGGATGATTCGGACGATCGTACTTCGTAATGTTATGTCACAACGTGTCGTTATCGCGATGTTTTTCACAGATTTATCCCACGGACCAATCAGTATCCAGTTATAGCAGTAATCCATCTACGCCCGTCAGTTCGCCACCACCTTTAACCGGCTCGGCACCAGGTTGGGCACCTGGAGCCGCGCCAGTATCTCCGCATTTTACGGCGGACCCCAATCGTGGTATTCACATGGTATGTATCGAGGTATCTTGTATTTGTTACCATTACTAATTACGACCATCTCACGGCCACCGCACAAGCCACGGAATCTTTTCAACGTTGTCCATTCTCAAATTATTTTACCAATTTACCGGTACAGTTATTTTGCTGATTCTCAATCCTTGCAATATATGGAAGTCTATCGAGGTATAATCGATCGAACATCGTTGAAAGATTTTTTGGACGTGCGTATAATTTTGGCCGCTTCAGAAACACGCACGGGACAATTTTTCACTTTTATAAGCGCTGGTCACCGTTTTTCCGTCGTTATTTCGTCACACGTACGCTGATGCGACACGTCAACAGCATTATCAATTATCACGCGCGCAGTTCTTAGAGTGTATGAAGTTAGCCCCCCTTTTTTTGAAATTCATATTTTTGAAAGTTGTTCCAGGTTGTTCTGACTTTGTACTACATTGTTCCAAAACGATATTCCTTAATTCTCAACAGTTTTTTAATAAAATAAAAAAAACAATTTTTTTGGCTGGCCCCCCTTTTTTCAAAAATTGAAATTTTTTTTATCACTACAGATTGTTCTAGTTGTTCCAAACATTGTTCCAAAGTATTAGTTCGATTGGTTAAAAACTTCAAGAGTTATTGAAAAAAGAAAAATTTTAAAAATAACAGTTTTAGGCTATTTATTCGTAAACAAAATGACTTACAAAACTGTCGATCTAGAACATATTTCTAACCGCGTAGAACAACTCAGAACAAAATTTTTAAGACTAGAACAAGAAC